CTGCTCTGCTCCCCGCTCTGGCTCTGGTGAATTCTGTCGCCCTCCCGCGATTCTGACTGTACCCAGTGCTTGTATAAATAAATAATAAATAAATAAATAAACAAATCTTAAAATAAATAAATAAATAAATATTTAAAAAAATTAAAAATTTAAAAAATTGAGATTTTCCTGGTTCTCGGAATAATAAGTGATCTCATATTATTCTGGACATTTTGCATATATTATGAGGCTCTAGATTTTATTTCATCTTTTGTAGTAGACTTTCCCCTGACTTAGAGCTTTAGGGCTGGATGTGCGTGTGTGTTTGGTTCCTGATGGGCTCTGCAAATGCCTGAAGTAGAGAGCTGGCTCACATTGCTTCCTTGCAAGTGGGTGGGTGGGTGGAAGTTGGGCTCCACCTTTAATCCTGCTGATACTTCTCAGTGAAAGTGGGGCATCAGCTTGTACTGCCTCAATGCCTCCAAGTGGCTAACACTAGGGAGGCAGGAAAGAAGAGGGCTGACTCACCTGCTTTATTGCTGCAGGGAGGAATGGTAGCTCCCTGCTGGGCATCCTTGACATCATGGCTGGGAACGGGAGTACTAGTGTCAGTGACCTCACTTTATACCTCCTCTTACTATCTCATTAATACCAGGAGTGGCAATGAGGTTCAGTTCCCCACTGGGCTCCACTGATATGGGGATTGGTGGTGAAGAAATGGGGGAATGAAGTGCTGACTAGATATGACTCACAATTTGTTTAGTTTCATGGCTGCTTGGTAGAAGTGGGAGTTCAGCTTCCCACCAGACCTCAACTAATGCTGTCCTGCTGGGTGAATCTGAGTGTTACTGATTGCTTCTGTGGGGAGGACTATGATGGAAGATCAGCTCCCTACTCAACCCCGCTAAAATCAGTTCCCATAAGGTCAGTTTCCTACTTAGTCCCCCATGAGGTAGAGAGAATGCAGTTCTTCTTTTGGAGTTTGACTGCAGTAAGGCAATCTGGCCAAATAGAATTTGTGTTGCTAGGTCACCCTTTTCCTACTCTTTAGGCTAGGGGATGTTGGTTTTTCTTAGTGTCTTTTTTGGGTGGGGGCCTATGCATATTGGCTGTGCATAATCCCAGTAGTTTCCAGGTGGAGACTTCTGAGTCTGGATGTATGGGGGTGAGATAGGGATGACTTACTGCCATGCCATGCTGTCCCTCAAGCCCCCAGATTTCTAGGCAGGTTGTTGTCTTCAGCTGGCTTGTGATACTCTGTCCATGAATTCTTAGTCCTAAGAGGGAGAACATCTGCCTCTGTAAGAAGGAGAAATGGGGTACTCCATATTTGAACTGGATGCCTCTGGAACCATTTTTAAAGAACTGTTTCACATTCAGTTTGGTCTGAATATTTCCATGGAATTGCTATAGGTGTACTCTGTGTGTGTGTGCATGTGCACATGTGTGCATATGTGTACTACCTCAAAACTTAGTGGCTCAAAGTAACAATGTGTTTGCAATTTGAGTGCAAATTGGTAGAGATATCTTGTCTCTATTCCATGTGCCATTGGCTGAAGCGTGTTGACTGGAACTAGAGTACATACTTCTGCAATGACTGTTTCACATAACTAATGAATTGATATTGACAGTTGGGTGAAGCTCAACTGAAGCTGTCAGTCAGGGATCTTGACTATTCTCCATGTAAGTGCTCACATAGCTGCTTGGACTTCCTCACAAAATGGTGGTTGGCTTTCAAATTGTAGAAGCACCAGGTTTTCTTAATCTATGACTTGGAAGACCTGCAGTTGTTCTTTTTGTGCAGCCTATTGGTCAGATCAGTCTTAGACTCAACTTAGATTCAATGAGAATGAAATGTAATCCTCACCTCTTTATGGGAGGTACAGATTGTACACATAGTAGGGAACAGAATGATGTAGGGTCATGGTTAGAGAGTAACTTGAAACTCTGTTTTCAGTTTCTCTGTCAGTAAAACAACAATATTACATATATCATAGAGTTACTAGGAAAATAGATGTATCAAGTTTAGAATGATTCCAAGCACACAGTAATAGTCAATATTTTTTTTTTTTGCCTAACAACTCATTTTGTTTATATAAAAATGGAGAGTTGATAGAGAATATTAGTTAGAGGAGAGCATAAAATTTCCTACATGGAAATGATGATATTTTCTTATACAGTTCAAGTAGACGATTTTACTGGTTAATATTTCATTTGGTAAATTCAACTAGTGCTTTTTCCTTCACTTCCTCTTAAACAACTGATAGAGATTAAAAGAAAAAAACAAGGCAAAGTAGTAGGACATCAGATGAAAAGAATAACAAATAATTTTATCGTTTAGTGACTTCTGGTGTTTCTGTTGGAAGCCTTTTTTATTTTATTATACTCGTGAATATTTTTCTTTTTAGTATCACTTTTCAGTCCTTTCACATTACATGTCAAGAAAGTAGTCTTTTAAAAATGTATAATTATATATTAAATTTAATTATATTAAAAATATAATATTGGAATGATATGCTTTGGGAGTGCTCTTGTGAAGAGTTAGTTCTTTAGGAAAGTTATGGGTCAGCAGAAGTCATCAGCCAGATAAATCCAAGGAATCACTACTAGACCTAGATAAATTTCAAGTCAAGTAATTTTCTACATTTTAGCAGTTCTGACAAGGTGGTTTTTTGTTTCTATATCAGAGTTGAGGGTCGATGCTAAATAATGTACTATTAAAATTATGCAATTTCATTATTTTTTGCAGTTGAAATGTTAACCAGGTCAAACTTTTCATTAACTAGTGCATGGTGTCTTTGTAACTATCTTGATTCTGTATAAAAAGAGTGCTCAACTTTTGCCATGTTGTTTTCACAGCACTGGTAATTTCCATTCTTCTCTTCTGATCTGTGTCCATACCTGTAATTACTCCAAGTGATTAAGACTACAAGTTATTCATTCTACAGCTGACATTTCCTTCTATGATTATTCATCTCTTTGGTTCTTTTAACAGCCACATTTTATTAATGATCATTTACCATGCAGTAATAAATTCTGTGTCATTTGGTCCTTCTGGAATTTTCTGATCTTTGATTGCAGTGTAACATATTGCCTGATTAATTGCTCATCATTGCTGTTTTCAGCTTCTGCATGCACTAGTTAAGGTTATTTCTTCCCTTTTTGGCTTTACTATCCCCTGAAGATTTTCATTTTCAGCAACCTTATTAGTTTTTCCAACTTCTATCATTTCCTTTTTGCATTCCCTGAGAGCACAGAGCATACATGGAATCCTTATAAACAGTTATCACTTTACTCTTGTTTTAGTCTAACACACATTTCAGCATGCCTTAGACGCACATAGAGGGTTTGTTAAAAACACAGATTGGGCCTCCCTAGTGGCGCAGGGGTTAAGTTTCAGTGCTATCAAGCTAATTCCAGCCACTGTGGAATGAATTCAATCCCAGGCCAGGGAGCTAACCCACATGGGGCAGCAGACCTCTCCAGTTTCACCCACTGGCCCCCTCTGCAGTGTATTTCAGTGGATCCTTCTGTTCTGCTCCCTACTCTGTCTCTGGTGAATCCTTTCACACACACCTCCCCCCACCCCACCCCACCTCTGGCCTACCCCTAGTTCTTTTATGCATAAATAAATAAAATAAGTCTTTAATAAAAAACAAAAAAACATAGATTGCTGGATTCTTCTCCAGAGATTCCACAGGTCTGTGGTGTGGCCACAGAATTTCCATTTCTAGCAAGTGCCCAGGTCCTGTCTGCCCAGGAACAATCTTTTGAGAAGCCCTGACAGCAGAATAGTGTGGTGGTTAAAGGCTCTGGATTCAGCACATTGGGGTTCAGATGAGAGCTCTGCCACTTAATTTTCCCAACATATGATCTTGGAAAAGCTAGCACATTATAGCTTAATCTCTGTAAATTGCATCTTTCACATTTAAAAATGAGAAGCAACCAATCTTTTAGACTTGTAAGGATTAGATGAGATAATCTATGTACTTAGTACAGTAGCAAAATGTAAAGGTTCAATACATTTTATCTATTGGTATTTTTTTACATTATAGGAGGAGTTAATGTTCAAATTCAGTTATCAAAATTAGGAAACATGCCTCCTTTAGAAAATTGGTCATTTTTCTTAGCATCTTGATTTTATATACTGCTGAGGTAGAAATTTTCTTTTCTTCTTAAAGATTGGCCATGTGAACAGAAAGATGCAGTAGAAAGATCATGAGATTTGGAATCAGGAAAATGCCTGAGTTCCAGTCTAGACTCTGCTATTCCTAGCTTTGTGACTCATAGCAATTTTCTTCATCTCTCTGATCCAAGTTTCCTGTAAATATCTTCTAAAGTGGTGATATAAATGGTAAGGACTGTGGTTCTCAGATTTTAGTACATCATGGATCAAATAAACTAGTTCACTTAAAAGTTTTTTTTTTTTACTTTAACATTCTGTACAAGCATAGCTATTATTGTTATTTTTACTGAGACTGCATCCAGAACAATTTTTAATTGTACTTATGTATTGGCATGAAAAGTTATGCTTCTATGGAGTGGCAATTATGGAAAAGACTCTACCTTAGAATTACTTTGAGGTAGTAGTGACTCCACCTGGGAATTGCTGAACATTTGCTTAGATATATGGATGAATTTTTTTCTACTGTAATCTAAGTAGGTTTCTTATTAACAGAAATGCTGTTTCATCTTTTAGACTTTTTAACTGGAAGAAATGAACATCTGAATGACCATATTTAGAAATGATACAAAGAGAGAAAAAAAAATGGTATCTGAAAATGACTGGATCAAAAGCATGCTTAATAAAGTTTAGTTCTCGTGGTTTTTGATAACAACTTTGAGACAAATATCAGGTGTTATTTTCAATTGGTACTTGCAATCAATTGGAATCTTTCCGAAGTGGAAAGAAGTTCCATTTAAAGAACTTAACAGTCAAAAAAATTTCACTGTGGTATTAATGTGGAAGATATCAAGATGGACCATATGTATTACATGCTTTAAATGTGTTTTTCTTTTAGAAAGCAAGACAATGTACATAAATCACTGCAGATGTCACAAAGAAGGTTGGGACTGAGGACTGAGAGAGTATAAAGGAGGAAGAGATTATTTCTGGCTGGGGGATCAGCACCAGCCCATTTTCAGGCCATGCACTGAGCCACAATAATACCAGCGTATCTCAGTGGCATAAGGAGCCGGGGAAGGAGTTGGTGAGTCCAATTTATTGACCTTCACAAAGGATTATATTTAAACCATCTCAGACAGATGATAATCTATCCTCCATTGGGGGAAGAAATCCTTCCTGTGAAGGAGATTCTATAACCTTCCTTATTAACACATTTCAGAACTTAACAGCCTTTGCTTGCTGCTGAGAAACCTGCTTCAGCTCCCACACAAACATAAGGATTTGCCCTCTCTGGACTTGCTACACACAAACTTGCATCTTTATATTAGGCCACCATTATATCTCTGGGGGCCCTTATGTCATCACTTCACTAGCTGATTAAGCAATCAAGCAAATAATTCTGGAAGTCAGGATATATAGAACTGCTCAAGAGTGTTGAGAGGCAGTTCTGGTGCATGAAATGGAGATATTTTCCAGGTATGTTTAAAAAGTCCTGGTGATGTGTGGGCTCAGGTAAGGAGAGTATGGGAGTTGACTCCTGAGATAAAGAAAACAGGAGGCACTGGAAGAAATGGGATTAGTCTTAGCCCCCTCACTTTCTTGTAACTTTGGGCTGATGACTTAAAATCTTGCAACCTCAAATGTCTTACCTGTAGAAAGGAAAAATCACATATCTACTTTATAGGGTTGTGAAGATTAAATTTAAAAGATGCTTGTTTTGTGATGAAGTACAAGAAATTACTAATGTATGCCCATTTTGATCAGTAATGGTAGCATTTCTATGTGGTTTAAGCTGATAAATATTCTCAGCAAAGTACCTACCAAAGACTGAACATTGATAGTAATTTTTATAAATAAAAGACTATACTGTGATGATGATGTGATGACTACATTGTTGTTATTTTCTTTAAATGTCCTGGTCTACATTACCCAGGCTCAGTGCCACAGGATTTTTCTGCAAATAAACATTTATAAAATGGGCAGACATTGGTTTCAGGAGGTGCACACGATCCCATAAGAGTGTGGAAGACAGAGCGTTGGGGTGGCCAACAGGAGTTAAGAAAGGCACCAGAGAGGTGGCAGCCTTTGAACCAGGCCTCGTAGGGTAAGCTGAAAATCTCTAGGTAGACAAGCTGCCGGAGGAATCTCCAGTAGAAGGAGAACATGTGCTCAAGACACAAGGTGGGAGGCAATGTGAGAGATTTGGGGACCTGGGGTGATTGTGTATGGCTATGGCGGGAGTTGCAGACTTGCAGATGTAGAGAGAAGGAACATGGCTTGAAAGAAATGTAGGTTTCTTTGGGGAAGTGTCACGATGGGTTTTGCATGTTTGTAAGTTTCCTCGAGGGGTTTTATTGAGAATGATGGGCTGGAGCAGATGTGCAGAAGCTGGACACATGTAAGTCAGCTATTGCAGCGGTCCTGCTGAGAAATAGCAGAGACTGAACCTGGGGCAGCAGAAGTGCTGGAGAGGAGTGGATGAAGTGCTATCTATACCAAGTTATCTATACCAGCCAAGTCCTAGTGATGTGTGGCCTGAGGTGAGGGTAACATGTGAGTTGACTCCTAGGTATGTGCCTTGGGCCCCTGAGTGGGTGGTCCTGTCTCACCTGGGATAGAGAAAACAAGGACCTGGAGGAGGCCAACTGAGGCATGAGAAATAGGGTGGGAGAGGCCAGGGAAGATAATGACTCAAAATTTGAGGCTGTTGCGTTCCGTGTGTGAGAGTTTTGCATTTCCTCTGACTTCCCTGCAGTATGAGGTGAAGTGCCCTGTGGGCCCCACAGGGATTCATGAGGCCCTTGCTTGCATCCTAACAGGTGAATAACACTTTGTTCTGATTCCACCAGGGCCTTGCCTCCCGAAGGATTCTGGTCATGTATCTGTGCCAAGGTAATGGTTAATGATTAAAAAAAAAAAGGTAGCTAATCTTAATAAATAGAGTGCTTACTAAGTGTTAGGTGCTGTTCCAAATGCTTTTTATTAACATTTCATTTAATTTTGGGAAAAACTCTTTTTGAATTTGGAGGTACTATTCATCCCCTGTAGTGAATGAGGAAATGAAAATCATGGAGTTAACTAACAGGTTCAAGGTCATGTAGCTAGTGAGTGTGAAGTCAGGATACAAACTGAAGTGGAATATTCCAGGGATTATGTTCCTAAGTGTTCTGCCAATATATGTCATTTGGCCAATGCTAGAATTCCTAGTAGGTTCCCTGTCTTTTGGGAATGCTTGACACTAGGATTTTATTGTTTTTAAAATAGTTCTTAATTGGTGCAAATTTTTTTACATAGCAATCTGAGGTTTGTAGATTCAAAAAGGCAATCTGTGGATTAAAAATTCTTCTTTCTAATTTACATTCTCCAATGGGATTTTGGATTTTGTTCCTAAATAATCTTATTATATTTGGTATCTTATTTTGTTTCCCTTTCTAACTATGAGCCTATCCTTAGAAGGAGGAGTCAGAGAGGAGTTATAATTAAGGCAATTTTCACTCTCTAAATTAAATTATTGCTTATTTTAAATTTGGACTAAATTGAGTTTTCTGGGTTTTGCTTTGTTTTGCTAAAAAAAATCTAGATGATATGTGGGCGTCTGGCATTCTTTTGCAGTTCCTTCATTCATTCTTGCTATGGACTGAATGTTTGTAGCCCTTCAAAATTTGTATCTTGAAGCCCTAATCCCTATCATGATGGTATTTGAAGGGGGTTTCTTTGGGGAGGTGATTAGGTTTAGATGAGATCGTGAGGTCATGAGCTTTTTCTCTGTTATGTTAGGAAAAGAAGGCAGAGGGTTCTTGCTAGCTTCCAGAACTGTAAGAAATAAAGAATTGTTTAAGGCACTTAGTTTACAGTATTTTGGTATAGCAGTCTGAGTTGACAAAGACAAACCTCCTGGGAGTCTTTATGAGCGACTTATATTTCTGCTGTGGATGCCTACGATGGTGTGACCATCCTCATTCTAGGGAGTCCCTTACCTTGGTGGCAGTCCAAGGTGAGTCCAATTCACTGATTAAAAAGAACAAGCTAACATTTTCTTTCCGTGGTTGTTTTATGAATTATTTAACTGGGCTTTGTCCCTCTCCTTATTTAATTGCACTCACGGAGAAGAACTATGGAGTGCAGACATTAAGAACCCTCTAAGAGACAAAGCAGTTGATTATTCTTGTCATTAAATAGGTCTCACCTTCATGACGCCATAAGAAGCACTGCACAGAAATAGCTCTTTGGCAGAATTGTGCTCTCAAGGGCAGATATTTTCAAGCCATCCTTGACTCTCTAGAGCAGAAAGGCAACCAAGTACAATGCTGAGGAGTGGGGAAGATGCTGAGCTGAAAACAGGAAGATGTCACGTGCAGTTGCGAGTGGACTTCAATGAGGCCACCAAGAAAAGATTCTCAGTGATTCGCTTTCTGTCCCAACGAGGGAACTGCTATCCTCAGGAAAGCCCAGTTCTCTTTCTGGCTTCCCCCCCCCCCCAGGGATCAAATATTTTATTTATTTATTTATTTAATTAATTAATTTTTATATGATTCTTACATCATTTTTCATTTTTGCACAATGTATGCATTTTCATTTTGGTTATATTCCTCATACAATTCCCACCTCTCTTATTTTAACCATAATCCCATTTTTTGTTTTTTAATTTATTTATTTATTTATGCATACAAGATCTGGGGTACAAGCCAGAGGCATGGGGGGTGAGAGGATTCACCAGAGACAGAGTGGGGAACAGAACAGGCAGATTGACCGAAGTACACTGCTGAGGGGAGCAGTGGGTGAGCCAGGAGAAGTCTGCTGCGCCATGTAGTTTGCTCCCTGGCTGGCAGGGGATTGAACTCATGCTGCAGAGGCTGCGCTTAGCTTCATAGGTTGCGTCTCAACCCCTTGCACCACCAGGTAGGCCCCTAATACCGGTTTTAACTGATGGTTTCATTGAGCATAATCTTTTTACCTACTTGCTTTTGCACATGCTGTTTACTCTATCAGAAAGACCTCCCCTCACCTCCACACCTCCTCTGCCCCTCAGATATTGTGCAAAATTCCTATGTGGACTTCTATACCCAAATAATAACAATGCTACCATCAAGAATTTATACAGTACTTATGTATTTGGAAGGTGGAGAGTGGGGTATTTCAGGTGCAGACAATAAGGTCTTGCATTGTCTGTAGAGAATTACAAAGCAATAATGAAACAAAAAAATGAATCTGCTTTTTTTTTGACCTATATGTTGGAAACTCTAAACAATGTTAATAGTAAAATGCTCCTTCCCATTGGGGCAGACTTCTCCCACAAAGTCTCCATTCACTCCTGTTACCCACTTTATTTTTACTTACTTGCTAAATTAATTCTATAATTTGTTCCCATTTTACAACTGAAAACACTAAAGCAGAGAGATATTGTGTGACTAACCTGTGATCTCTTGGTCATATCACTTACAGCAGGTAAGTGATATGACCAAGTTTCAATGTCAATAATATTGCACCGATTCACTCACCTGACTGCTGAACATGTATTTCTTGGAATATGTAGTATATATGTAAATATATCTCTGCAAAGAAGCCCCAGACACACCTACGGTATGAAGGTGCCCTACATGTGTTCCAGAGGACTCTCTACATTCCTAGGACTGTACTCCCTGGATTGCAGGGCAGTGGATTAAGCTTTCTGAGGCTGGCACAGTAGCTGCTCTGTAGATCCAAATGCATGAATGTTGTCTTTGTTCCAAGAATTAGAAAGACATGTGTTTTTATGTATAATATGGTAGCATGGGGAAAGCTCTAGATTCCAGTTTAGAATTCAAGAATGGTCTCCCTTGCTGAGTCTGATACTAATTATCTCTGAGACCTGAAATCAGGCATTTAATACATCTGAGTCTTTATATCTTAGTCTGTGAAATAGGGGTTGAAATTAAATCACTGACTTTCAATAGTGGCAACCTTTCTTCAAACTAAATTCAAGTGTATTTATTTTGTTCTCCTCCCATTGCTACCAAGCATTTTTGTAGAAAAAAACCTTTCATCTAAGTAAAACTTAATTCAGGATGCATACAAACTAGACACATACAGCTGAAGGAAAGGTTATGCTCCCAGGTGAAACCACTTAAATCAGAACCAGACCATTATCAGACCTCTGCTGTGCTCCCTGCTAGTCAAATATGACACAACTCTGACTTCTAATATCATAGTCTAACTTCCTAGTAATGGAAACACTTAGTATATATTATTTTGTGTAACTCTTTTACTGAATATTATGTTTGTGATCATCATCCATGTTGCATGTTACTGTAGTTCATTCATTTTCCTTGTTGTCTAATATTCCACTACGCACACAGACTACAGCTTACCCCTCCATTCTTCTATTTATGAATAGTTTGGATAAATTCAAAGAAAGCCATACCCAATGAATCCTAATAAAAACTAACCAAAGGGCAAAAGTTATTACTTAAAATTTATCAATTAAAAGTTACTCATTTATTGGGCCTCCCCTGGTGGCACAGGCGGTTGAGTGCCATGCGGTGAAGGTGTTCACAGCCTCTGCAGTGTGGGTTCAATCCCCACTGGCCGGCGAGGGTCCCACATGGCGCGGCAGACCTCTCCTGTCTCCCCCGCTGCTCCCCTCAGCAGTGAGGGGAGCAGTCTGCCTGTTCTGTTCCCCGCTCTGTCTCTGGTGAATCCTCTCACTCTCCCGCACATCTGACCTGTACCCCAGCTCTTGTATAAATAAATAAATAAATAAATATTTGGGGAAAAAAAAGCTATTCATTTATTTATGTATTTTCACTAAGAATCCAAGTCCAGGAATAATCACGAGAGCATTCCTCTCAAGTTTTATGACCTTGGGATCAGAGAGAGAGTCATCATAAGAGCCTTTGCAACTGACCGGGGCCATGTCCCCTATGAGAAAAAAATTTTTGCACAGTAGGAGAAAGTATAGTTAATACATGATTAGAAACAATGAGAGATGGAGAGATACCTGGGTGGTATCCCTGATCTCATTTATCCCAGAGGTCTGGCTGCATCTTCCCCTTCCTTTTATTAGTTATTTAATTCATTAATTTCTTCCTTGGCTGAGGTTCATTCAGATTGGTATTCTGGTACAACCGAAAGAAATCTCACTGCTATACACATTGCACAGATCAAAATATATAAAATCAATAAATGTGGAGCTGATCTCCACAGTAAGGCTTTGTTGCCTTACCCCATAGCAGCCCTTAAAAAAAAAAAAAAAACATTCAATATATTGATATCGAGATAAAATTTTTTTTTAAAGATTTATTTATTTATTTATTTATTTATTTATTTATTTATTTATTTATTTATACAAGCACTGGGTACAGTCAGAAGCGTAGGAGGGTGAGAGAATTCACCAGAGCAGAGCGGGGAGCAGAACAGGCAGATTGACGAAATACACTGCTGAGGGGAGCAGCGGGCGGCAGGAGAGGTCTGCGCGCCATGTGGGACCCTCACCCGGTGGCCGGGGATCGAACCGGCGCTGCAGAGGCTGCGGGCAGCTTCGCAACCCAGTGCTCAACCGCTGCGCCACCGGGGAGGCCCTATCCAGATATAATTTTTGAGAAATGTTAAAGGTGTTAAGTTTTGTTAATATAAAATAAGAAAGTATTAGGATCTGGGATAATGTGGGATAATATTTTATTAATGGCATAGTACTTGAGACTCCTGCCCAGCATTTTCTTTATCACAATTCTCACTTCTAGTCTAATTATTCCGCTCTGTTGACTGCACTTCTGAGCTCAGATCATAGAGCATTGCTATTGAAAGATGTAAACTCTGTATTCTGGCTACAAGTACACATGCCTGGCACAGAGAAGGAACTGGACAATTATTTATTTTGTAATGGCTACTTAAAACTACTTAGCTGCAAGTT